AAATGGTGTAAAATTCATTTCAGTACAGCGTTGCATGACGGAATAAACGTCAGTCAAAGTACCGCAGCGCTGAATACTGAAACATGGCCTGGCCAGAAAGGGGGTCTGAACACCTGGTCTTGAAGTGGTTAAAGACACCCTATCAGGAAAACAGAACCTACAAGTGAACAGAAGGGAACCCTTAATGGTGCCGCATTACAGAACTCACTCATAAAGCACCTTACTGTGGTAAGCACTGTAGTGAAAAAGCCGTCAGGGCGTTCTTACCGCTGCATGTGTCACCTTCCTCCATTGCATTGACTCCATTTGCCTTTATGGATTGTTTACTCAGCTGATCATAGCTGTGCATTCGGAGAGATCTGCAGGGGTGGATGCGTGCTGTGTCTCCTAGCGGCAGCAGTCTTTTCTCTGTACATCTTAATGGGTAAGGACACTTTAAAACAAAGTGCACTTACCCTGTGTGCCCCCCACCCCTGACCTAACCAAACCCCACCCTTCAAAGATGCGTACTTACCTTGATCCGTGGTCCTGATGTTTGTTGATACCCAGTGTTGCAAGTCTTTTCTGCTCCTGCCAGGTTTGTGACATAGGGACATAGGAATTCCACACCCCTCCTGCCCCTCTACTCCCTCCTGCCCAAGGCAGGGCCTTGGTTGGACCCTCAGGACATCTGTAGAGCTGTGTCCTGAGGCCGTGACAATGGGAGACGGTCCCATACAAGTCTATGGGGGCTGCAATGCAGAAGCTTGGCCGAGACAGTGAAGACTTGCACTGCTGGATGTAAACAGTCGGCGTAACCGTGGCTGGCGGATCAAGGTCAGTAAACATCTGTGGAGGGGAAGGGGGTTAGGTTAGGTCAGGGAAAGGGGGGCAAAAAGGGCTTTTTTTAATTTACAGCGCACTTATCCTTTAAGAGACCCTGTTGGTCTAGCAAACAATGTTCCTAAGGGTCCCTGCAATAACGGAGCCATTATACTCACCTCTCCAGATCTATACCTAGCAGTAGCAGTGTTGGGCTTTGCATACCAGTACTGGTGGCTGCGGAGTTTATACCGCCGATAGGTGTAGCAGTGTGCACGTGGGAGCACCAATATTGGGTAAATCACCTCCACAGCCTACTGGTGCAGTATATGCCAGTCCTATGGATGGGGCAGTGGGGAAGCTAGACATTCTGTCACCAGGGGCAAAGGCTCAGAGCTGCTCCCCCCCCCCCTCCAAGGGAGAAGTTCTCCATCCACATACCCAGTGGCACCCCTCCTAAAGAGACACCTGGAGCACATACCTCCACAGCCCACCCCTAGCTGCGCCCTGCCTGGTGCATAATACACAGCAGCTGTAGGCTAGATAGCAAACTTGAGCGTTACACTATTCGTCATATTTTAACTCATAGTGTTCCCAGCATCTCCAATGAACATCAGGGCACCCCAGCTCAAACCTTATCACTGGGGCGCAGTAGCCACTATCTAGAAATATGCTGAAATGCTTTTTTCTATATACGAACTGATACAATAACCAGATTACAGTTCGCTGGACGGATCCGTTAATAGCTTGCGGTGGGTTATAGTAGATGTAAAGTGAATGACAATTAGTACCGTGCATCGTAAACAATTGACTTTTTTTTAAAATATTCATTGCATTGCGTTTACATTTATGTATTCCTTTACTGCATCTCAGTGCTGCTGATCTGTCTGCAGCCACTTCCTGTCTATATGCACTCCATGGACGGCTGCACGGCATCTCTGAGACTCAGTGGACCACGCCTGCATAATGCGCAGTAAAATGGTGGCCCGTGTGACAGGGTGACAACACAGGAGCACAACCGGTAGACAAAGCCAGAGCGTTGTCACCCTATAACAGGAAATGCCTGAACAAGGACCTTTATGGCAGGAACCTCAGAGAGTATTTTGTTGAAAGCTGTACATTTAGACATTTCGGAATCGGCTTTTGAAATGACACGAACATAATAAAGCAATAAACATCCACTTGAGACCCCGTTCACACCTGGGCAGTTCGGTCGCGCGGATCCGCCGACGTGAACGATCCCATACATTGCTACGGGGACCGTTCATGCAACCGCGCAGGTCCACGCGACCCACCCCCGCCCAAACTGCTCCCTGCACTATTTTTGCAGCCCTAATCAGTGCGGCTTCCATACAGCTTTCAATGGAACCGCGCCGATTAACGCGGTTTGGGGCGATTTTACTTATGTTTCAGCGCTGAAACGCAATTAAAAACGCCCCAAGCCTCCCTTTTCAGATCAGTGCGGTAACCACGCTGATCCCCAACCGCCCTGGTGTGAATGGGCTCTTAATTAGCAGCACTGTAATACTTAACACCCCCCGTGTTATGTAACTTCCCGGCTTGGACCAATGGACTCTTATCTGCAATATCTGCCCGGCGTCCCCTAAATATATATTAACAGTAACTCCTTCGCCTAGAAAATGTGAATTATTGTGGAAGACCCCTGAAGGAAATTTGTTACATTTTGGGAAATATATTC